AAATGAATGATGGAGAAAGAAAGTGTGGGAGAAGTCGTTGGTATGTGGGAATTGACTCTGAATCCCCAGGCGTAGGAACTAGGAGTAGCCTGTAGGAAGCTCAACCCCTGTCTATTTCCCTCCCCGTCCTTTCCCTTTTTGCCGAACCTGCCCAATTAGATATCCGACACACAGAGTGGAGCGCCACGGCGCCACAACAGAGGGCTCCCGGGGGGGTCATTGGCGAATCGGACGCGTCGACGTGCATTCGATTGACCTCATCTCTCTTGGTACTGTGATAGCCACGCAACCACGTCCGCCCCAGACCTTGCCAGCTAGCACTTTTTTTTCCTTGTTTCCAGCCGTGACTGATTGCAACTCCCCCCTCAGTCACCAATGGCCCGGCGGGATCTGTCTGCCCACGATGATTTTTCTTCTGCCGTCAACCTTCGTCACTAACGGTCAATCTGGAAGCTATCATGCTGCCGACTTCCGGCTGCCTCTTTCTAGCATGACGAGAGGCCAAGCGCCGGGCGGTGTACTCCTCCCAAATCCAGGCCATCATGATGCAAGATGACCGAAGTCAGCTTCACGTGGCAGACGCAGACTATGCTGGCTTGCGCGTCGCATATGTACTGTAATAGTGTAGATGCGAGCTTCTCCGGCGACCTCCAGCTTCTTCGCCTTTGGGAGCCCCGGAATTTGTTTCGAGCTTTCCACCCCGAGTCCCTGTTTCCTGTCCCTCATTCCAGGCCCCAGAAGCTTGATTGTCGCATTGAGAAACAGACCTTGCCTCCTGCCTTGTTAGTCCTGCAAAAAGCAGGTTGGCATGGGTATCTTGGGAGGCAGGGTTCGATTTCAGCAAACAGACCCCTCCCTCCGTCTCGCAGTTCGCTTGAATTGTCAACCCAGGCTTCCGATAAGGAAAGACTTACCGGTAGAGCCTCCCACCATCCATCGACCCATACTGTGGTGATGTAGAGGTTCTGGTTACTGGGCAAGGTTCCAACGGAAAGGATTTTTTTTTCTTGACATCGCATCCATTGCCTTAGCCTGCAGCTTCGCACGTCCCCCAGCCATCTTGCCTTAGTTTGGCAGTGTTTGACAGCGTTGCAGCGGAAGGGATGGAGTCAAAAGTGCGTCAGAGCTCAGGCCGAACGATACCACATGGCACCAGGTCTTTTCTTTACTTGCTGGAACCGGAGAGCTTGGGACGGGGGTTAAATCTCCCGACTGAGGGGAGGTACTCTGTGGACGCTGGCTGGCGGCGGCGATAGGGTTACATCAGGCATATCCTGGTTAACATCGCATTTCAACCCCGAAAGTAGGTCGCATCTCTCATCTCGTTGCGAGATCTAGCCCGCGCTGGCCCCCAAGATTGGTTTCTTGGGATATTACAATTTACTCGAGGGGCACTTTGCCGGGAGCCAATTCCACTCTTCTGGCTGTTTGCGCGCGACTCGCTGTTCACAAAGAGAATTCAGCTTGCCTCACAACATGAGCATGCAAGCGTGGTCGGTCTCAGCTGCGATTCCAGCCACCGGGCCGACAACTTTCGGGTCTCGGTAAGTCCAGGAGGATCAAGATGCAGCTTTGGGTTTGTGGCTGAGGATCCAAGCCAGGTTTTTCTTGTGTTGACCGTGTTGACTTTTGGTGCTGGAGTTGCCGGCAACGGGCGTGGAGCAACGAGAGAGCTTCCATCGCTTGGGGCCGAGCTTGAGCTGTGAACACCAACCTGGCGCCACTTTTGCTGCAGCACTAACCTGGAAGATAGATGAATTCCACATCAGATACCCACATCGACTTGACCAAGTTAGCTCCGGGTGGCTTCTCATTTGCTGGCTAGCAGCATGTCAACGTCAGGACAAGCGTGAGAGGCAAAGCCGACTAAAGTTGGGGCAGCCGAAATGACATGGTTCTCCAAAAATCTGGGTATCAAACAACCCAACGTTGATCGACGGGAAAGCCCACCTCGCAGTTCACCGCAGATGCTCTGCATGCTAAGGCCGGGTTCCCGTCGGCCAGACCAAGTTAAGGTACCTTGTCCAATGGTTCGAAAATCGAATAGGTGGTGGCTAGGAAATAAGGCCTGCCCATGGATTCAGGTCTACAGGGTAGGTAGCGACGTAGTCAAGTAAGGTATCCGTAGGTAGGAAGGCAAGGCACCGGGTTCGTACGTCGTGCCCAACTGCCATCCCGCACCTTCTTCTCCCGATTGACTTATAAACGGGAAGGCACTCCCTTCACCTTCCTCGTTCCTTCCCTCTGTCCTTCAATTAAGGTACTCTACTCTAATACTCCGTGCTCCACGTGACATTCCGTTGTTTACCTACCTCGATTCGGCACTCTCGAATAATATCTCTCCCCCACCCCATCCACCGAGACACCTCACCTCACCTCACCTCACCTCGAGTAACCACCAACTTCTCTCCGCCAACTCTCTTCCATTGTCACCTCACACCACACACTTTCGCTCCATCACTGCGAGATACTCTCAAGCACGCTCCCCACAACCTCGACAGCTTTGACATCAATATCAATCGTAGGTAAGTTGATATATCCTCGAGAGCTCTGGTATCACGAGCCTCCATCATTTTTTGCGCTGGCTTCATTTTCTCCTACTCCCCTGCCGCAAGCTGTTTGCCTCGATTTCCAGCTTCTTTGCCTGCCCAGTTCTTCAAGCACACGAAAAACAGAACATCGGCATTTCGCTATCAGTTTGTTTACTTGGTCTTGTGCGACCTTGGACTTGCCCCGTTCTTTCCCCAGTTACACCACACCTTCCCACAGGCGCAGCTTCCCAAATTTGCGTAACACTCATTTCCTTCACCACCTTCCACTCACCATCTCGTGGCCTTCTTTTTCCCCTTCCACCCACCCACAAAGTTGTCTCTCTTCCCTCTTCACCCCATCAACCTTTTCGTTCTTCACCATCGCAAACAATTTTTTACGCTTTCTTCCCAAATCCACGCACGCTCTTTGTCGCCAGGTAACTTTGTTCATTGACTGCTTTTGTGGAATATCTCTCCTTGCGATTATTTCCGACTTCCCTTGTTCGATTGCGAAAATCCGAGCTCTGCTAATATTCTACCTCCAGGTCCTTCATTGTCGACTTTGTTCTCGCAAACGACTCACTCTTCAGTCTTACAGAACCCATCAACAATCATTCACAATGAAGTCTTCCATCATCCTCGGTGCTGGCCTTCTTTCTGGCGCCATGGCTCAGGGCGCCTGTGGCGTAAGTAAAATTCCTCCCTCCGCTGTGAACATGGAAAATCCAGTCACATGGATTTCCATTTTCAGATGCTCGTTCTTCACGATCTTGAAGCATATGTGATTTTAACTCGATCAACAGACTGGCTGTATCTCCGCCATGCAGGGTCTCGCCTCTGACCTGGGCTGCACCGCTGGCGACAACGCCTGCCTCTGCCGCAACCCCAACTTTGCCTATGGCATTCGCGACTGCTCTTTCCAGAGCTGCACTCAGTCTTCTGATGCTGAGGCCGCTGTTGCCTCTGGCATTGAGCTCTGCCGCCGTAAGTTCTGCTGCTCCAGGCACTCTTAAACTTGATTTGTATCCACTAACAACTAAATCAGAGGCCGGTGTTGTTGTCACCGTCATCCCTGGTGCCACTGTCACTCAGCCTACTGGTACCGTCACTGCCACCGCCGTTCCGGTTGTTTCCTCGATCTTCTCTGAGATCACCTCTGGTGGCAGCACTCTCACCACTCTCCTTGGTGTCACCACCCTCACTGGTGTTGCCTCTGGTGGCAGCGAGTCTGCGACCCCTAGCCCGGTTTCCACCTCCACCTTCACCACTGTCATTACCAGCGGCGAGTCCACCATCACCTCCACTGGCGAGACTACCCTCTTTGGTGTCGGCGGTGTCCCCGGTGCCACCTCCCTTCCCCAGACCGCTGTCACCACCGAGCCTGTTGTTAGCACCATCACCTCCGACGGCAGCGTCATCACCTCTACCATTGGCTCGACCACTGTCCTTTCCTCTCTCACTGGAGGCGAGGCTTCCAGCGCTCTCTCCAGCCAGGCTAGCGAGGCTACTGGTGCCACCACCACCACTGGCGGCTCTGGCTCTGCCTCCGGTTCTGCCACTGGCACCGCTGCCAGCTCCAGCTCCAGCGGCCTTGTAAGTTCCCAACTACCTGTCTACCTTATTCTACATTCCATATTGACCTCTTTCTCTAGGCCAAGCAGACTGCTGTTCCGGTTGCCGGCTTCCTGGCTGCCGCTGGCTTTGCTGCCATGTTCATCTAAGCGCCTTTCGCTCAGATGACGATGTACTTGCTTTTCTAAGTTGCGGTAAATACCCGCCTGGACCCATAATCTTGATTTCGACATCCGGATTCATCCTCGCCTTCTACCAATTTCGACTTGACACGACACGGTTGTGACGGGCACATTTTAGTGAAATGGACAGGGAAGATGAGGTGTGGAACAAGGACGATTCGGAATTTTTCTGGAGGGTCAAACAGGCACAACGAGTTCTGGGCTGTCGATTTTCGGACGGCAATTAACAATGGTTTGATGATACAAATGGCTTTACACAAGGGACGTAATGATTTGACGGACTGATATCTAATGTGGTTTTGGTGGCCATCATAGGCACAACGTAGGCATTTGGCCGTAAAATGGTGGTGGTGAGGTAGTTGGGACAAACGTCTGTCCAAAAGTAGTAACACATTCTTCCGCCATCATGATGAGCCTAATCAGTGATGAAGCGACCCGCCTTTGTGATGCTGATCACGCCTTGCTATGGTGACTTTAAGTTTACAGTGTCGCGATCTATACTCTGTAGTATTTCTGGATAATCAACCCCCCTCCCCCCCCAACGCTGGCGTCTGTCATGTCTTCCCGAATCTTCTTGCTTATAGCTTGAGAACAGTAGTTGATGGTGACGCGAGTATATTCTTTGTTGCACGTCATAATGTACAAAGGCCGTATGCAGGGCCTCGAGGGTATCATGATCTTCTAGGTATAAGGTGATATTGTACAAAGGTTCATCTCACGCCACTCTCTTCTTCAACAGTGCCAACTTGGCAGCGAGGCTGGCGCTGACCCCTCCGTCGCTCTCCGAATCCGACGATCCAGAGCTACTCGTCGTGCTGTCGTCGTCTTCCTCGCCCAGACTTTGCTCGGCAACAATCTGGTCGACGGCGGCCGCAAACCTATCAACGTCGGCGACGGCAAGATCGCCATCACTCTCGTCCCCGTCGCTCGGCAGCTCGCCGTCTTCCAGGTTCTTGCGAGGTCTCTTGGTCTTACTGCCGCCGTCTGCCCTTTTGCCGTTGCTCTCGTGCTTACGTTTGGGAACGAGGCGCATCGGCTTCGGTTCCGGGAGTAACGTCGCCGGTAGGACCGCTCCCAATTCAACGACGTAGATTGTAGGAAACTCCGGCACCGTCGTGTCGCGCAGGGCTTCGCCGAGGGGCGTCGTTGCGTCTACGGGGTGAACGACCATCTTGCCCGTCGCTGCCGTCGCCGCAGATGTCGTGCCCGCGACGTAGAACGTGTACCTCGTCTTTTGCGCCTCTTCCTCCTCCGTTGTCCCCGTGAAGGGCTGGACGCCAGTGTGGGAAGTCCAGGTGCCGCGCGGAGAGGACTGCATGAAGAATCGGCCTGGATGCCAGGCTCCCGTCTCCGTGTCTTGGGCCGTGGCGATGGACTGGCCCGGTTTGTGTTGGTTTTTGCGGCGCTTCTTGTTTCGGCCAGATCCGCCGGTGTGAGCATTGGCTTCCTGGGTCTCCTCGTCGTCGTCTGGTGGCTGCTGCCGTTGCTGTTCCTTTCTGGCCTGCTCATCGTTGAACGACTTCTGCCCCGTGACGAAGGCCTTGTAGAGCGGCACGTCGTCGAGCGCCTTGGCTAGTACCCTCTTTGTCGTTGTTGTTTCGGTGTTCCCCACGCTCTCCTGCTGTTGTGATGGTGTCTTTGTGTCTGTGGACGAAGTGAGAAGCCATTCAACCTGCCAATTGATTCTGCCAGAGGCTTTGCTGAAGTTGGTCCCGTTCTCCTTCTGTCTGACCATTCCCACCGGCGCACGCTTCAGCAGGATCCCAAACGTAGCCAGCCTTTTCTTGAAGGGTATGCTGGAGAGCGCCTCATACCGCGCACCTCCTGGGCCGCTGTCCCCCCGCAGGACCTCGGTGACCATGACCCTCTTCTTGCGTCCATCGCGGCCCGTCTTCCACTGCACGCTGCGCACCTCGACCGGCCGCAGGTCCTCGGGTTTCAGAAGGTGTCTTTCCTCGACAATCTCCTTTTCGGAGCGCTGAACGGCGCGCTCGATGCCCGAGAGGAAGTTGAAGTCGTGGTCGACGCCCGCGGCGGTCTTGAGCTTGGAGGGCGGGACGTAGGCCGTCGCGTCGCGGATGCCGTTGCACTGGGACCAGGACTTGTGGCGCTTCGTGCAGGTCAGGGAGCAGGTCTGGAGAGTGCATCGTGGGCACTTGTATTTGGGGGGCTCGATGTGGCAGATTGCGCAAAGGCTTGTGAGGAGGGGGTCGGCCATGGCCGCTTTCGTGTTCGTGTTTGCGATTGTGGGAAAGGATAGTTGATAACAACTGTGATCAAGAATTGAATTATTACAGTATAGAGTGTAAGGTTTTAGCTCAATTGCTATCTGGAATGGTCGCGACGGGCTTGTAATGCAGAAGAGGACGACGAGACTTGGTACGCATACTCCGTCCAGGAACTTTTTCTGTTATCGCTAGCTTATCGCTAGCTTATCGGTGTCGGAGGATCTGTATCCACCTAGACGTCACATTGCCGGCATATTACATCTTCCGGCACCGCTGCACAGAGAGCCAACGTCCTGCATCAAGACATCTCGATAGAGTCAGGGTTCGCCAGTACTCGGAAATCGTGAGACATTGATATTAGAGATGATTGTACTATTGACGGAAGAAACGTTTATCTTCTCTGTGTAAGCCCGCTTCATGATACCATGGGATTGTTGTCAGAATCCAGCCAACTCTCCGTTGGCAACACCACTACTTAAGTCGAAGAGGTTCGTTCTCGAAAGAAGATGGCTACTGATCCAAAGGGATATGGGCGTCACTCACCTGATGAGGAAGGAAGGCATTAACACGATAGATGGAAGGGGCGTTGAGTCGAACATGATATCGTGGAAGGAAAATTAGGGCGACACTCTCTCATTTCCTCAGGGGTACTTTGTATCATCCGCAAGACTTCATAGTCATGCCCGTCCAGCTAAGAGACCACGAAAGTCAGATGAGCCAGCGCCGGGGTACGTTGATATGGCGATGACCAGGCTTCTTTCAATGTAGGCTGGTGAGGCTGAGTGTGGGACCTGGTGCGAGCATGTCTGCTATACCTCCTGCCAGCCGGGCTTGAGGCTGTCCATGATGTGGACAAAAGCGCGATGATGAAACGAGAATAGAGGAAGGGTGGCCTGGCCAGCCACCGTTGAGGTATTTCACCAACCTATCATAGAGAAACAGTTCTCGTTTAGATTGGTCGTATCTGCGAGAAGCAGCCCGCATCGCATGGAAGCTCTTCTATGTCTCCGAAGCAGTTGGCGCGACTTGCACAGCTAATGGGTTGCCTGACCAAACCCAGCCTTGGCTGACGGGACAAGAAGTCCGAAACCGCAACCAGCATCTCTGCCACGATCTTGTTAATCTGTTCGGAATGATCATTGGAGTTGGATTGTCATTGCAGTGCTTGGTAGTGTCGGATCGGGATGCCTCTGCCAGAGTTTTCGAACGCCATCACGTTTTCCCAAGTCATCACGTTCCGAGTGATCCGTCACATCATGTTACGCGTTGATGTGCTGAATAGTAGGAGCCTCTGAAAGATCCGTTATCTTTCAACGCCTTCTAGGCGAACACACTGTTACGGCCTCAATGTCTCTGACTTGGATCATTGGTGTGGATGTAACATCAACTAGTCTCCTGAGCACTTCAAAGCGACATCAGTCAGTCTTTTCAAGATCTTCTGTGTTTTCACATCTTATGAGTTCGTTATCAGTAATCGCAGGACCAGCGTAGCGCAACCGGATATTGTTTGGGTCGATGTGAGCAAGACGGACCCTCTAAGTACGTGCAAGCCAACATGGATATCAAAGTATCACCCAGACGAGGGCTTCAGCAGGATGAAGGGGCTAGACAGCCTCCTTTGAGACTGCGATGAAATTGAAATTCACATATTTCGCCGCTGTCGTACACTTCGGCCCGGAAAAAAGACACCCGCGCCCTTCGGCTTTGGAATAAGACTTGATAGATATTGGGTCACAGGATAAGGTATACCTATGAGATCTCTAGGTAATCCAGTCCACTTAGTATACACATTGACATCACGCACATGTTCATATTTGAAACGGTAGTTTCCTTCAACTCTCGCTGGATTCGGATTGTGGGTACTAAATAATAAGGAGAGATATGAACTGAACTAAGCAGAAGGCTCCACCCTTGGGATACAAATGATATAAAAATCGTGATAACATCCAATCCGGACACCAGCGAGCCCTGTTCAACTTGCACAGGCAGAAAAAAAAAAGGCAACACATTCGTCTCTTGAAAAAGACAGGAATCTGAAAATTGTAAACGCCGGACACAACGAAATTTTGTCCACGACCACACAGGTGCAAAAAGGTATCAGGCAAAAAGGTGTATGCACAATGTCGGTAAATCGTCCTCCCCATCGACCAAAGAGAGGGAAACTGAATTCTCTTTAGCCACTTGTTACTCCAAATGGATTATGTCGAAACCGCCAAAATAGCTCTTCAGCGGGTACCGCCAAGAGCGCTGATGCGCGCCCCAGACGGACGGTGGATCAGGCTGTCGGTATGCTTGCCGACGGTCTGCTGAGGCATCGTCTCGGACTCGCTACGATCTTCCTCGAAATCCTCATCATCCTCAACAATCTTGGTAGGGATGTCCTGGTGGATCATGTACTGCTGACTTGAGCGCTCGGGAGTTGCAGCGCTGGAAGCAAAGGACATCGCTGTGCTACTTCGGTTGGGGACCAGGTCCGGGGTGGGGGGGATGCTGGATATCCGACCAGAAGCAGGGTGAAGGAGGCTATCTTCGCCCATGTCGGATGTTGCGTTTGACTGAGTCTCGTGACCGTCATCGCTGTGGGTGGCGGAGAGGTTGCTGCGACGGCGCTGAGCGCGAAGGCGGGCCGCGCTAGCAGAGCGCTCATCAAAGTCGGCATCTTGGGCCAATTGCAGGCCCTCAACTGCAGCCTGGCATTGCTCGGCAATGTTTCTGATAATGTGCGCGATGGCATCAGTCTTGTCCTTGAGGTGGCGGTCGGCCACATCCTTGAAGCTCGAAGTAGAGAGCCTCTTGTTCGCCTCAGCGGCAGCAGAGAGGAGGCGGGCCTGGTTGACGTCGGCTTCTCTGGGAGTGATGCCATCCTCACCCATCTCTGGCTCGAAGCCTTCCTCAATTTCGTGCGCCAAATCATCGGGCTTGGTCAAAGACTGAACCAGATGCTCCATGTGATGGCTCTGGCCGCCAATCAAGCTGCGCAGATGCAGCACAACACGACGAGCCTCGTCACGCTGTCTGAGGATGGTGACGTTGGTGTGCTGAAGAGCAGCAAGCTCCTTCTTGTTGCGCTTACGCTCGCGCTCGAGTTCCTCGGCGATCTCCTGTTGGAGGACCAATGCTTCGAGAGCATCATCACGCTGCTTCTCAGTAGCACCGAGACGGACATTCAGACGACCGTTGTCATCCTTCTGCTGATCAATGAGACCTGCAAGGCGTCTGTTCTCCCTCTTGTGAGTTTCGATCTTGGCCTTGAGATCCTGGGTCTCCTTAGTGAGCTGTTCAGCAAATGCCTGGAACTTGAGGAACTGCTGCTTCCAGCTCTCCAGCTCCTCGTTGAGGTAGTTGTTGCGTTTTGTGACCTTGTTGAGCTCGGTATCCATGCGGCCCTTCAGGTTGATGAAGTCCTGCCAAGCCTCGAGAGCATCACGAGAGTACTGGTTTCTCTCGCGGACAATCTCGTTGAGATGTCTCATCGAGACCTTGGTCATCAAGGGCTTCTTGACGGAGCCACCAAAGACAGCCTTGATGCCTGTGTTGCGGCCCATCTTCTCGCAAACATGATCCATGACGGCCATAACGGTGTCCTGGTTCCACCATTCGGGATCTTGGATGGACTCGACTTCTCCACGCATAACAATGATCTGGCCGGCGGGGACGAGCTTGCCGCCACCGTAAGCGGAGCGGAGATGAGGGGGAACGCCGGAGGGAGTCACATCTCCGTTGAGAGACTGTGTCAGGCGGGTGACGAACTTGTTACGCTGGCTGGGGTTGAGTGCGGTCGGGGGGCTGGAAGTGAGAACAAAGTTGCGGTCGAGGTCAACAACCAGAGCATCCGTTGGCGCGGTGAACAAAGAGCGGCACTCGGCCGTGACACCGAGGATGTATGGACCGGGCTCCTGGACTAAATCCTTGGCATGACGAGCATGCACAACCGGGACATAGAGGCCACTCCACTCGTAGACGCGAACACAGTATCTGACAGTTTCTGCAGCCATGGTGAGCATGGCTGGGTAGTGACTGACAAAGATGATGCGGCGAGTTGGTGAAATAGCGGCCTCAACGACACCCACAATGTTGGGGATGGACAAGCAGCAGAACAGTGGCCACATGGCGAAGTTCTGGAAGCCAGTAGGCGACGAGGGGAATTGGTAGCAAAGAGCATAATCTTTCATGTCGATGCGAACCAAGTCGTTGAGTCTCGGAGCCGGGAAGCTGAGAATACGCGAGACCTCCTCGGCGTGAAACAAGTTGGTAGCCTTGTTCCAGTGGATCCACATACCTCGCAGGTAGTCTCCAAGAAGGTTGTACAGCGGGTACCGAGACAAGAATGACAAGCAGTAGGGAATCCAGTAAGTCTCGTCGGGGTTGTCGTAGTAGTCTGGTTCAGTTCTTTTACGCAGATCCCGAATTGTCTCGGCCCTCTTCTCATCGGCTCGCGACCATACGCGAAGACAGATTCCATACAAAGTGTGGGACGAGTCTTGCTGCAGAACGAAGGCATGGTGGACGCAGTGAGGCTGGCTGCGGCCAGTGCAGATCTCAACGTCGTGGGGAAAGCAAGCCTGTAAAATGTCAGCCACTCAAACTCTGAACAAAACGTATGGCAAACGGCCACTAACCCGCATGGCAGCGTGCAACGACCTGGCGATCTCGTTGTCTTGCTCCAACCTTGGGCTGCTTCCAAGAATCTCGGGCAGCCAGAATTGACCAACAGCGCCCTTCATGTGGCCAATCTTGCCCTGTGCAGGGGCTGGGGCCTTGACCCATTGCGAAGGTTCTCTGCCAACACCGCACACCATATAGGCGTGAGTAAGCGTCTTTGGGGTGCGCTGCTGGGGCTTCGCATTCAGGGTCGAGGGAATCGGCTGGGTGATGCGCGAGTGAAGGGAGGAAGTACGGCTCGGGATAATGAGGTTGTTGTCTCCCTGATCACGGGTGGTAGGTCGCCCATCGCGGTCGCCGGTCCGGGGCCGGGTGAAGGACGAGTGTGCGTTCAGCGAAGGCGCCATTTCGTCGGTGATTAGTCGTCGTTAAGAAAGAAAAGTTATGTTGAAGTTGTATAGGTGGACGTGAGAGCGAAGAAGAAGGTGACGAGGTGGTTGATGATCCGGACCACACACGAGCTGACCAGCGTGTCGAAGGAAAAGGGCCTGGCTTGATTGGATGAATCAAAAGACGGCAAGGAAGCTATCCAGAGAGCAAGCTCTCGTCAAGGAGTCGTCGGTCGAAGAAGTTGCTCAGAAGGGCGCCATTCGAAGGAGCCTCAAGGAGCAACTTGAATTGTCTGGTCTGGTTGAGCGAGAGTTGAGGCTCTAGCACAGACTGGTTGGTTGACTGACTGACTGCTCGGTGACAGGTGGGGAGAGAAGAAACAAGAAAGGAGGGAGGGAGGAAGGGGAAGAAATCGTAGACGAGACAAGAAGAGGCAGTTCCAGCTGAGGTAAAAGGGGAGAGTGGTGTCCAGGGGGGGGGGTGTTTGAATAGGAGGACGGGGAGGAGGAAGAAGTGAGGGCGAAGGAGAGGGTGTGTGGGAGAAACAAGAGGCAGATGGCGATAAAACGAGGGTGTGCCACTGGCGGGCGAGCTAAGATGAAGCGAAAGGGGGACCAAGCACCCGACGCGAAGCTGGAAAGGGAAGTGTATGGTCGAGCAGCAGCAGTGGCAGTACGGAGTACCTAGTGTAGAGGCAGGCACAGGGACGGCAAGTCAGAGAACAAACTGTGCGGCCGTGTGTGCGTACGGCGGGGAGCAGACAGAGCAGAGATGGGCAGAGACAGGGGCGAGGACAGAAACACGGGCGGACAGGCCAAGAGATGCAGCAGCGACTTTCCATTGAGAGCAACAG